TACAGAATAGAAGTACTTTGGATTAAACAAAGGTGAATGAAGGAAAGGGAGGAATGGGAATAGGAAAGATAGTAGAACGAATCAGAGTTAACTTTCCTATGTTCATGTATGAATACACAACCAGTGAAACACCACATCATGTACAACCACAAGAATGGGAAGTTATACTCCATGTATGTATAGTAGGTCAAAATATACTGTCAATTATATCTAAAAAAAAAAAAAATAAAAATTTTTAAAAAATAAATAAAGATATGGTTAAGGCATTGGATTGGAAATGGTACCCTGCACAGAATGGGGAACTATCCTTTGGGATATGGAACACGGGTCTGGTAACTAACAAACAAACGTTAGAATGATCCCACTGTCACTCCCAGTGACCCATTGGGGAAACTATGATTCTCATTGCCACAACTTTAGACTCTGTGGGTCTAATGTTCCTGGTTCTACCAAGCAACATAGTAAAAAAGTTCCTGAGGGCTGGGTGCAATGGCTCACGCCTGTAATCCCAGTGGCTCAGGAGGCTGAGGCAGGAGGATCACAAGCTCAAAGGCAGCCTCAGCAACTTAGCAAGGCCCTAAGCAACTCAGTGAGACTCTGTCTCTAAATGAAATATAAAAAAAGGGCTGAGGATAATGGCTCAGTGGTTAAGCAACTCCTGGGTTCAATCCCCAGTACCAAAAAAATAAACAAACAAACAAAAAATCTCAATCTGTTTTCCAAAGTTGCTGTACAATTTATAGTACATTCTCACTCAAAATTAGAATTCTTCACCAATATATGATATTATAAAACTTTTAAAAGTTTGTTAAATATGGTGAGCATTCAGGAGCATTTCACTGTTCCAATTAGTATCTGTTTAGTAATTATGATAAGAACACTTCTCAATATTTAACCATTTGGATTTCCTCTATTGTGATATGCATAATCAATTTGCCTATTTTTCTACTAGGTTTTCTGCCTTTTTTCTTACCAATTTTAAATAGTTATTTACATATTTGTTTGTTTGTTTTTTGTGGTGCTGGGGATTAAACCCAGGGCCTTCTGCATGTAAGGCAATTAAATAGTTCTTTACATATTTGAAAACAAGTTCTTTGTTTTTGTTAGTTGGATATAAAGGGTATAAATATCTTCTCCCAGTCTGTTGCTTATATTTTTATTCTTTTTTAAAATATATTTTTAGTTGTTGATAGAACTTTATTTTATTTATTTATATGTGGTGCTGAGATTCGAACCCAGTGCCTCACACATGCCAGGCAAGTGCTCTACCACTGAGCCACAGCCCCAGTCCACTCTATTTTTAGTCTTTTAATGGTATTTGTTGGTAAACAGAAGTATTTTAATAAAATCAAATTTACTAGTTTTGCTTTCATAAATGTGGTTTTATATTTTCAAGTATATTTTATCTAATTACCTTTTCGTTATTTATTTCTAATTTAATTGTACTGAACTCAGATAATGTGATCTGCACAAGACTCAAATCTTTGAAATTTACTTCCAACTTGCTTTATGGAGTAACATATTGGCAATTTCCTTAATGATTCCAGGCAGGCTTAACTATATATACCAAGTGCCAAGTGCCATATTTTAAATTTGTCCACTAGGTTAAGCTTGTCAAATGTGTTGTTCAAAATTCTACTTGCTTATTTATTTTGCCTGTTGGATCTATCAGTTAGGGAGAGAGTAGTCTTGAAATTTTTCTCTATGTAGGTTGGTTCATTAATTCCCCCTCAAATATGTGTCAAATTTTTTCTTATACATTTTAGCACTCTTATAATGTGTGATAATTTTCGATATTTTAACAAATTGAGACTTACGTAATTTTATAGCAACCCTTTTTACTGTTAAAGCTTTGCTGTAAAGTTTATTTTCTCTTCAGTTAGCTTTCATTTAGTGAGCATTGCTTTCTATATCTTTTCTTTTCCTCCTTCTCCCCTTCCTTCTTTCCTTCTCTTCTTCTCTCCCTCCTTCCTCCCTCCCTCCCTCCCTTCCTTCCTTCCTTCCTCTCTTTTTGTTTTTAATTGCTGTACTGGGGATTGAACTCAGAGACATTTTACCATTGAGCTACTTCCCTGCCTTTTTAATTTATTTTCTTTCTCATCAAGCTGCTGAGGTCAGCCTGAAATTTTTGATCCTCCTCCCGAGTAGCCAGGATTACAAGTACAAACCACCCTATTTCTCTTTCTATATTTCCAATCAATATTTTTTACTTCCAAACATTTTCTGTCGTTTGTTTAAGGTAACCTCTTATAAATGGTATACCTCTGGTTTAAAAGAAAACTGACAATATTGGTCTTCTCTCTATCAAATTTTAGTCCATTTAAATTTGTTGTGCTAGTTCATTTAAATTAGTTTGGATTTTATCATATTCTTTTAGGTTTTTTATTTGTCTTTTCTCTGTGTTTTCTTTTCTTCCTTCTTTGGGGTTTTTTGTCTTTTCTTTCACTCATTTCATTTGTTCCTTAGAGTATTTAGAAAATGACCTTCTTTTCATCTTGTTTATTCTTGACTACCTTAGACATTTTGACATGCATGCTTATCCAGTATTAGGTTAATACTTCAACATCCCCCTGAAGATGGTCAGAACCTTAAAATGCTTTAGGTACAATTATACATTTCCAACACATGTGCTGCTGTCACGCAACAGCTTCATTTTTTCCAACATTAAATTAGATATTTTAAAAAATATTTATTTTTTAATTGTAGATGGAACAGCATCCTTTATTTCACTTATTTTTTTTATATGGTGCTGAGGATCGAACCCAGTGCCTCACGTATGCAAGGCGAATGCGCTACCACTTGAGCCACATCCCCAGCCCTAGATATTTTAATTACTATTTACAGATCTGGATTTTTAGACTTACGTACAAGGTTTCCCATGGTTCTCTCACTATTTATTTTTTTATTTATTCTGTGGTATTAGGGACTGAACCCAGGGGTGCCTAGTCACTAAGCCACATCCCCAGCCCCATCCTCTTTTTATTTTTTTGAGACAGGTCTTGCTACACTGCAAGTGGGTCAGGCCTCACTAAGCTGCCGAGGCCAGTTTTCATACATTTCAAACTTTCCATCTGGAATAATTTTCTTCCACCAAAAATCCATCCTTTAAAGTTCCCTATGTATTGTTAGGAATATTATCTTTCAGGTTTTGTGTCCATCCTGGCCTTTATTTGGGGCTCTGAAAAGATTGTTTCCTGTATACAAAATTCTAGGTCAATGCTTATTTTCTCTCAGCACATTGACAATATTATTTCTGTTGTTTCAGGCTTCTACTTCTTTTTGAGAAGTTAGCTGCCAGTTTAATTGCTGTTTCCTTATTGTTTGTCTCTGCCAGCTTTAGATATGTTGTTTTTGTACTTGGTTTTCTGCAATTTTGTGTGATGTGCGCCTCGGGTGCTTGTCATTTATCTTATTTGTAACTGGTTGGATTTCTCGGAGGGGAGGTTTGATATTTCAGCAATTCTGAAAACTTAACCAGGTATGGTGGCAGAAAGATTGAGGCAGGAGAAATCCAAGTTCCAGGCCAGCTTCAGCAACTCAGCAACACCTTATCTCAAAAAAAAAAAAAAAAAAAATCTCAAAAATAAAAAAGGCTGGGTTGTGGCTTAATGGTAAAGTGTTCCCGGGTTCAATTTCCAGGACTGCAAGCAAAACAAAACAAATCCTGAAAATTTATCAGCTATCATATCTTCCAATATTTCCTCTTCACAATTTTCTCTGTTATATACCCAGATTGGATGTATATTTATCTTTTCCATTCTAACTTCAATTGTCTCTTAATCTCTCTTTTATATTTTAGGTTATTTATCTGGACATATCCCCTTGTTTGCAATTTTTTCTCTAGTTGTATCTAATGCATCATTTAATCTGGATTAACTCCAATCATTTTTTACAATTCTAATTATTTTACTCTTATTTCTAGAAATTCTATTTATTTTCCAAATTGAAAAGTTTTTCTCTGCTCATATTTTCATGGCATTTTTATATCTTAGAAAATATTGAAAATATTTTTTTTTAATATTTTTTTGTTGTCAATGGACCTTTATTTTATTTTTTTATAAGCAGTGCTGAGAATTGAACCCAGTGCTTCACACATGCAGGGCAATGCTCTGCCACTGAGCCACAACTCCAGCCCCTGAACATTTTTATATTAACCCACCATCCAAGAATTCAAGGAGCTGTGGTACATGCCATGACCTTGTGTCTTCTTGCTCTTGTTCACTGTACCGTATTTCCCCATATGGTTCTGTAAGGTGTAGCTATCTATGACCCATTTCATGGAGTTTCTTTGTCAGAGTTGAAGCTCAGATCTGGCAGAAGGCCCACACAACCACAGAAGGAGGTTTCTCAAGCAGGACTAGATTTTGAAAGGGCAAGAGATAAATAAATAAAATATATTTGAAACTCTGCTATAACCTGCCTTGAAGGATGAGTTCTGCTTAAAAATTCTCAAGGAATTTTCTTCCTCTGCCCAGAACAATGTCAAGGAAGGATGATCTCTTGCTTCTATCATTTGTAATGGTTAGTTTAATTTATCTTTATTCTAAGAGAGTGATCTTTAGAGGTTCCAGCTTCATCGTGGTGTCTCTATCACACTTCCACTGAGGTAGGTGGTGAGCTTTCTAGTTTCCCTCCCTCATCCTGAACAACTGCCCATGTAGGGCCCAGGGACCCAAGCAGGAGTCAGAAGATTAGCTTTCCTACCTCCCAGCTTCCAGCTTTCATAAGGTTTTGGTGTCTGTGTGTTTGTCACCTGGATTCTTCCTCAGTGGCCAGTGGTCGTAGATGGTGTGGAGAGAGCCGTGGGAGGGAACAGATCAAAGCCTGACCCCACTTGGACCAGAACCTGGCTGGATCACCTTTACTTGCTTTCATTTTCAAGTAAGCTCTTGTTGTCACTATAATAGAGTGTTCCCTCCTTAACAACTGTTGAAATATTAAAACATCAGCTGAGGCCACCCTAAAGGCTTTAGGATGCACTCAACATACAATATTTCACTCTAGCCTGCAAGATTGTGGACCTTGTAGTTCTGGAAAATGGTAAAAATGTCTCCATGCCTCCTGGGTGAGAAGTGGTTTCGGACCACCCCTAGCAGCTGGCGGTAGCGAACCATGTACAGGTATGGGAGCATGGCACGGGGCAGCATCATGAGCACCTCACTGTTGGCTGCCAGGAGCCATGCATGGGTGCTGGAACCAATGTGGTGGTACTTGGTCAGCATGATGTCCAGGGAGAATACCACCCCTGTGCCTACATACAGTGTGATCAGCACCATGTGGATTAGCAGGGTACCCCTGGCCCGGGAATAGCCTTGTGTGCAGATGCCTGAAGGCCTGACCTCTGCATAAATCTTCCAGAAGCAGTAGATAATGAGAGCTGTGCACAGAAAGAGAATGCACACTATGGAGGTGTGGATGACAGTGACCAAGGTGCCACGGCTCTGCTCAGTGCCCAGGCCTAGTGGCAGGATGCAGGAGGTGTCTTGTTTCTCCAGACTGGCATCCTGCTGCTTGCTAAACCAAAGGAGAAATGTGGGGAAGATGCAGGCCACCAGCCAGATGAGGGCCACTGTCTTCCTGGTAGCTCTGCCAGACACAAAGGAGAGGTAGCGCAGAGGATGAGTAACAGCCAGGTAGGTGTGCAGCACGGTGGCTGTGAAGGACAGGATGGTGCTAGTATAGGAAGCAAAGACAGCATCCCTTAGGATGCCGCAGACGATGCGGCCCAGCTCCCAGCCACTCAGGTTGCTGGAGGAGATGAGTGTATGCAAGAAAATGTAGGCAAGATCTGAGACCAGGATGTTGGCCAGCAGCAGGTACTGGGGCTGATGCCTCAGCCTCTGGCTCCGCAGGATGGTCACCAGCATCAGGGGGCTCAGGGCCAGTGTGGCCACCATCAGTAGACTGGAGGGAAGGAAGAGCCAGCGCAGCCCAGAGATGGGTACTCTAATGTCTCTGAAGCCCTGGGAGGTGTTACTGGCTGCCTGGGGAGTGCAGAGTGTCTTGCTGAAGAGCTGGACTGGACCTGGCCAGGTCGTAGTGGCCAGGGGGCAGGATGCCAGCATAATTCTTTGCAGGTTGGGCTAATTGTGTAGCAGGTTGTTGGTTCTGCACTTGCCCAGAGTATTGATCCACCCTTCAGGGATCCTGAGGGGACCCCTCCTTTGCAGAGATGCTGGGCTGGGGCAGACTCTAGAAATGACTGTTCAACAAATACGAAAACAACAGTGCAAAATGTAGCTCACACATGGCTCCTTTGCTCAGGAATGCCTCTGCAACTGTGGGCATGGATTCACATGCTGGAATTCATCCCACAGGTGTGGGGGATGTTGAGTCCCATCTTGACGTCCCCCCCACACCTGTCTGGTTGGCTTGCAGGCACCGTGTAATGAGTGCTCGCCACAGTGGATTGGATTCAGCGCTGCCCTGCCAGAGGAAAGGAACAGCCATCAGGGAACCAAAATTGCAGGGCTGTGGATCCACCTGACCTCTGACCTGCTGAGGGCTCAGGAAATGAGGCCAGGCTGGAGAGGCCTGGGCACATTGACATTTTGCCTTATAGAACACTGGGGCCCTGTCACTTTTGGGGGGACAGCAGGAAGGTGTAGCCATGTGCATGTGTGTTTCCACACCCCTTCTACACAGGGCTCCATGTGGGAGCAATCTGCAGGCACAAAGTCTCAGAAGACTTGTGTGGGGTTTCTGTGTGGTGAGAACTTCCTTGCCACTGGGGAGGAAGAAGGAGGCCCAGCCGGCAGAGATCTCAGAACACCTAGTGAGAAGGAGAGGGAGGCTGGAAGAGGTAAGTGGGTGGCAGGCTTCTGGGAAAGTGGGACAAATCGAGTTAGATGATGTACACAGTGGAGAGCAATTAGAGGAGGCCCATGGCTGGGGTGGCAAGGAGAAGGGACCCAGTTCAAGTCACATGAGTAGGCACCCCTCCCCTCTCTCCTTTCTCTCTCTCCCTGTTTCTGTCTCAGTGCTGGCTGCAGGGTCTGGAGAAGCTTTGCTCACCTTTCTAAGTTAGTTTCCTTTTCTGTGAAACATGAATACTGTCAATACTGACAGCATAGAAACATTGCAAAAAGTCCAGAGGCATTTTTATTAATATATTTTTTAAATTGGCATAAGTATGTATATAGTAATTACTATATAATTATATAGTGATTATATAATAGGACATTAAGGTACCCATCTCCAGGCTGCACTGACTCTTCCTTCCCTCCAGTCTACTGACGGCGGCCACACTGGCCCTGAGCCCCCTGATTCTGGTAACTATCCTGCAGAGCCAAAGGCTGAGGCATCAGCCCCACTACCTCCTGCTGGTCACCAGGGGTACTGTGTGGCATTTAAATCCATGTATGTGAAGTGTAATGATCAGAGTATTTGGCATTTCCATTACCTCAAACATTTATCATTACTGTGTGTGTGTGTGGGGGGGAACATTTAGAATCTTATTCGTCAATTTGAAATATTCAATCAAATGTTACCCATTGTAGTTTCCTTTCTGTGCTATAGAGTCTTGGAAGCTATTCCTGCTGTCTAGCTGCAATCCTGTCCCCATTAACCATCCTCTCTCCATTGTTCCTGTCACCAAACTCTTCCCAGGCTCTGATAAGCACTATTCTCTTTTTCTTTGAGATCAACTTCAGTTTCAACATCACAGACTTAGAGGCACCGTACAGATGGAGGGAAATGTCTAATAAATATTAGCCCCCCCCTCACAATACCCTTTGAGGCTTCAGACTCCCTTGTCCTCACCTTAGACCTGGCCATATTATGCCCCTGAGACCTTCACTCCAACACTCACCACAAGTCCTGGCACACTGACTGCTCTATGGGGCAGCAGCCACAAGGGAACAAGGAGAATGTTCTTCTTGAGAACAAGCAGAAGATTCTTAAGGTCAGAAGAGAGCAGGAATTTTAGCCCCTGCAGCGTGTGAGAGGCCCTGCCTCACAACACTAATACTTCTTGGACCAGACTGGAGTTTGATACACCAGAACATGCCTGATCCATGAGCCATGGGCCCTTAGACCTTGTGAGTTGTACACCTCCTGCCCATCTACTCTTTCTCAACGTGCTGTAGCATTCTCCTCCATGGACTTCGGAGTAAATATGGCTCCACCTATAGTAACTAGCTGTGTGATTTGGACCAATTACTTCACCTCTCTGGGTCTCTGTGTCCCCATCTAGGGCCTGTGATGGCAACACACCTGTCTTGCAGGGCTGCAACCCATCACTCATAGGAGCTGGTGTTCTTTGGGAGGCAGCCTCTTTCTTAAATGTACTCCATAGACTGATTGTACTTTCAAATCTCTAGGACACAGTGAAATGATGTAGCAAGGAGAGGCTGAGACATTAGAAGTTCACACACTTGGAGAACCCAGGGAACCTGATCCAAGACTTGTTCTTCTCATCTCAGACAGCCTTGCTGCAACAGATTCCCTTCAGAATCTATGATGGCAGAGGGAAGACTGTCTTTCTGCCCCAGTTTCCTGACTTGCACACCCTAGGGTGTCCCTTAATACTTCTATGAATTGTTTTGCAGGTCTAACTGGCCCTAGGATCTGGAGAGGGAGCAGGGCCTTTCCCAACATACACTGGGCCAATGCCCTGGGGGTAGTGGAGCTGAGGTCTGGGTCAGTGTTGCCCTCTGCTGTCTTTGAATGCAGATTTCCTGGGAGAAGGAAACCTGTTAATTGACAAACCATCCATAAAATTGTGACTGTGTGCTATATCCTTCTGATAACTGGCGGCAGGTGATAAGCCACAGCTCCATGGAAACCGGAAGAGCATAATTCCCATGCTGAATGAGCTACTGCTAGGTGTAATAAAGAAAGAGACCTGCCTTCCGTTGAGGATCACTTTATGACCACAGCTGTACATAAAAAAATCTCTTAGCAGAGTGAGGGTGCTGCCCTTGGGGAACATAGTTAGGTCTCACCTTCCCTGAGTGTCGCTGCTCAGGTTGCCTGTCCTCCTAAATTGTGGAGTAGCATAGATGTGGGATCACCCAGGGCCAACCTTGCTTGGACAGGCTGAATGTGTCCTAGAGTAATGGGGTGGGATTGGGGGTGGGGTCAGATGGCAGTGGCACTGCCTTTCTGGGGTTGATTTTCCCCAACCTTTAACTAGTCTGCTCTACTCGCACTCAGCCTTGCCATCATTGTGGGTGCTAAAGGAGGCCAAGTGTATTGTGACACAAGGTAGGTATACTGCACACACCGGTGACTGACATCCCTTTGGAAATCCAATCTCCACTATTCATGTCCCCTCAAAGCCTGAGCATCCCTGCCTTCCAAGAAGTTAAAAGTAAGCAGAACTGTGGGAGGGCTTGTTGCAAACATGTACAAACCACAGACTGGGCAAATCCTAAAGTGCCCCCTGCCCCAGATAAGGTAATAGTGACTCCACATGAACTCATCATGGAGCACCTACTGCATGCAGGCACTGGGCACATGATCTCACAGCAACTTCATGCCGTTCTGTGAATGATGGGCTGATAGGCAGCAGGGGGGAAACTGAGACCCAGGGAGGTTGAGTGCCTTGCTTAAGAGAATTGTAAGAAGAATTGCAAGAGAATTGTAAGAAGTCAGCTTTCCTGAACATACAGAATCCCTGTGGCTATGTCACCCAGATTGGCAGTGGGACAGGAGCTACTCACTGTGGCATCAGAGAGAGGCTCAGGGAGTCGGGAAGTGGGCAGCAGGCAGTGGCAAGATGGTTGAGAATCCCCCAGTAGGACCTCTGTTCATACAGCTGCTCCCACAGGCGGCTAGCAACCAGGACTCTCAGGTATGACAGGATGATCTAAACAAGGGCTTTTGGTCACCTGGCAGCAATACAATGTCCCTCATCAACTGGCCATGTCACCTGACCAAGCTTCAGGATTGAGACAGGGAAGAAAATCTCCACCCCCTGGGCCCTTATCATTGCCTGTCTGGATGCATGTAGACATGGCAGGGGTGAAGCTGAGGGAACTAATATGGCAACTACTGGGAGCCAGGCACCTTCATACAAACCACTCCATCCTCAGGAAACCTGCTGAAGACAAGGAAATTGAGATGCATGTTGGGTCAATTAATTTTTCCAAGGCTACCTGGTATGTAAACATCAAAAGCTGGTATTATGGTTTGAATGTGAGCTCATGAGTGAGACAATGCAAGAAGGTTTAGAGGTGAAATGATTGGGTTCTGAGAGCCTTCACCCAATCAGTGAATTGATTCCCTCGTGGGATTAACTGAGTGGTGACTGAAGGCAGGTAGGGTGTGGCTGGAGGAGGTGAGTCATTGGGGGTGTTGCTTTGGGGTACATATTTTGCATCCGGCAAGTGGAGTTTCTCTCTGCGTTCTGATCACCATATGAGCTGTTTCCCTCCACCACACTCTTCCACCATGATGTTCTGCACCACCTCAAGTTCTGAGGAAAGGAGCTGGCTGTTTGTGGACTGAGACCTCTGAAACTGTGAGCCCCCAAATGAACTTTTCCTCCTCCATAATAGTTTTAGTCACAGCAGGAAGAAAAGTTGACTAAAACAGCCAGGTTGAATAATCCTTGCTATTCATGAGGCTGAGGCAGGAGGTTCCCAAGTTTGAGGCCAAACTGGGCAACTCAGGAGGACCCTGTGTAAACTAACAAACAAACAAACGACAGGTCTAGATGTGTCTCGCTCCAAATCCTCTGTTATCTTCAACTTCACTCCATCTGTTTCCTGGGTGATCTTCCTGCCTCTGTCTTTGGAAGGCATTGGCACCAAACCCTTCATCATTGTTACCATTTCCACCAGCATCTCAGTGTTGCCATTACTGCCATGTCTTCATCACTGTCATGGTCACCTTTTCCTATCCTCATCACCATCACCTCCTCCTCATGATCATCAACATCATCATCATCATCGTCCGCACCACCATCACCTCCTCGCATGTTGCTGATAACCAACAAAACTCTCCACTGGTTTATCATTGCTCTTGAGACTAAAAAAAAATCAATATCACACACACACACACACACACACACAAAATGAAGATCACTATACTTTGGGTCTGAAATGTCCCACAAATGCCCATGCATTAAAGGTTTGATCCTTAGCTTGTGGCACAATTGGGAGGTAGTGAAACCTTTAATATTTGGGGCCTAGTTGGCAGAACTTAGGTCATTTAGGGTGTGTCCTTGATGGTGATATTAGGACCCTTCCTCTCTCTTTGCTTCTCAGCTGCCGTGACATGAGCTGACCTCCACCATGCACTGCTGCTTAAAGAAATAGGGCCAAGTAATCGTGCACTGAAACCTCTGACATCACAAATCAAAATAAACCTCTTGTCTTTTTATGTTGATCACCTCAGGTAATTTTTCACAGTGACAGAAATCTGACTAACACAAAGATCTTTCTTGTAACGCACAAGATCCAA